AAAAATAAAATGTTTAAAAGAGGACAGGGTTAACAGTTTGGTTTTATTTTGTTGTGAGCTTTTGTTCGTCTAATTCTTAGTTTTTAGAGTGCTTGCTGGTCGTTATTAGTCAAATATTGTTTAGTCTTTTACTGTAACCATTTTGTAGCCTAGCATGGGAGCCGTAATTTGCCGACAGCCGACGTAAACTGCTTGTGTGGGGAAAAAAGATTCTTAAACAGAAAAAGGAAGGGTGTTTCTATAATTTCACAATGTTTTAGTTTCATAAATGCATTATATAGTCCCAGTTAGTTTTCCCTACTAACCTCAGTTTTATTTCAGTTAGAAGGTTGTCTGGGTTTCAGTTTTCGTTAGCTTTAATTAACTAATAACTGTCTTAAAGGACCCAACCTTTGGGCTGGTCATCTTAAATGAAGCATAAACAAAACCTGATTTAGTTTAACTTGGGGACTGCTGTGCAGGTTTGTGTGATTCTGACCCGTCCATGTGGACCTGCCAGTAGGCCTGCCGGCTGATGTTGACATAGTGGAAATCTCCGCTGTAATATTTCGGGTCGGTTCCTCCCAGCAGCAGCTCGCCTCCCGGCTCCGTTTCTGGGTTCCTGAGCAGAGCAAAAAAAAAAAAAAAAAAAAAATTTTTTTTTTTATCAAAATTAGCCATTTAAACAACTTTTCTATACACAATAGCGTCCATTTTATCAACACTAATAATGATACTCAGTAAAGTGAAATTACTTTGAACTTTAAGACAGTTGCAATAATTATGATTAAGAAGATGAACATTGTCCAAAAATATAACCAGTTTTTAAATGGGGAAAAAAAAAAACAGATGAGTTATATTTGGCTAAATTTTACATGATGAAAAAAACCTGCTCAGATTTGTCCGTTTAGGTTTTAAACTCAAAATTAAAGTTTTTATCTCTGTGGCACCACTAGAGGGCGCTGGTGCACCATCTACCTGCTGAAAGCTGGAGAACAAGGAGTTCAAGATCCTGAGATCTGCATTCATTTTATTTTTATGGGGTTAAAACGTGAACCTGTCCATCTTTAAATCATGATTTCATCACCGGCTGCAGCTTTGTAAGAATCAGTAGAAATTAACTGATATTTTTGACTTTAAAGCAGGGGTACCCAAAGTGGGTCCTGGAGGCCCGGCATCCTGCATGTTCTAGTTCTCTCCCTAGTGGTTGTAACAACCTCCTCAGCATGTCGGTGTTCTGCTTAGGCCTCTGATGAGCCATCATTTGATGCAGGTGTGTAAAACCAGTGAGAGACTAAAACATGCAGGATGCCTCCAGGACCCACTTTGGGTACCCCTGCTTTAAAGTAACATTTCACAGGACAACAGACAACCTATTAGTTTGGAAATTATTACTAGAGATGCAAATCTTTCAGTGTCCAGAGATTCAGTTCCGATGTTTAGAGTTTGTTTTTCAGTATGTAACCGATATGAAAAAAATGTTTTTTCATATTTGTTAAAATTGTCACCATGACGGTTTAATAAGAGACTCTGAAAAGATCGATCTCCAACCAAGTCTGTACTTTACATTACTGACCAGCTCGCATACCAAATTCATCATTTGCACATCAAGATGTTTGATTCCTGTGAAGAAAACCATCCGTCTCACCTGTTCAGGTAGAAGGAGAAGACGTTCTGCTCCACCTTCTTCTGGCTCATGATGTTATCGAACACAGGAACCACGCCGTCCACAGAGATCCGGGGGTATGCCATGCCCAGGATCCCGTCGAACTTGGCTGCGATGAAGGCGATGCCGGGCTGCTTGATGGCTTCGCCGAACAGCTGGTTTTCCACGGCGATGTTGCCGATCTGAGGGGAGAGCCGAGTCAGCGGGTTTCACACGGCAACGGCTCGACTCTGATCTACGGCCAAGTAACAGGGCCACGCGACGAAAATATGATCCAATTACAAGAAGCATTAGTTTTACGAGAAGTTGTAGTGTTACGAAATGGTACAACTTTACTCTCGCATGAGTGCATTCTCATATTTTCGTAGCGAGGCCCTGATACTCGCTGTACTGATCCGATCCGCAGTGGGTGGAGCTTACGGTGCAGGTATCCTGGCTGAGGTATCCGGACAAACTGCCGGATCCATACTGGATGGCGAAGGAGGTGCCGTTCTTCACGTATGTGGTGGATTTAGCGGAGTTATATTTGTGGTGAAGCACTGAAAGGAAAACAGACGGTTAAATTCCCGGTTTGTTCCGGGTTTGGAGTCGGAGGAGACGGACTCACGGCAGGCGATGTCCAGCAGGGAGCAGTGAACGGAGGGGACCCACAGGTTGGACGAGCCGGTGTCAAACACCACCGTGAACGGCTGGGGAGGCGTGCCCAGACTGATCTCCCCGTAATACTGAGCCTGGTCGGGGAAAACAAGGTCAGTCAAGGACAAACGGAGCAGGTTTAATAACCAATCAGCCAGTTTGACCCATTTTCAGACGACGCGGGTCAAACCGTTACAACATGAAGAGAAACTACAGAAAGGAAACGATTACTCATGACCGCCATCAGATTTCTGCTTCATGTGACCAAACGCTGCGTTTCTGTCGAGTCACGCTCAGAGTTTCTCAAACGCAAAATGCAGAAGTGGATTCGGATTTATTGTACGATTAGTTTTCACTTCTGCTTAAGTTTCCCAGAGAGCAGAGGATGCAACTCAGTCTGGGGAAAAAAACAAGAAAAGTTTCTCTGCAGAATTACCCTGAAACGGCTTATATGGAGATAATCTGAAAGTAAAAATGATGTTTAAATAGCAAGCTTAAGGCTAAACATGCATGAAGTTCTAACACTTTATGGTAAAATACTAACCAAGCTTCATAATGAATATTTTAATAAGTGAGAATAACTTCAAGATGAGCTTAAAATAATAAAGTTGTGCAACTTTAGTCATTTAATAAGATATTAATGTAAAGTTAAAAAAATTACAAATTTTAGTTTAGAGTTGAACATTTAAAATAAAAAACTTTAGAATTAGTTGCATTACTTCTACAATAAATACAATTTCGATTTTCTTAAAGGTGGAACATGAGGACTTATAAACCGAGAGATTTATAATAATCTCTTGTAAATAAATACATTTGTAGAAAATAGTTATGTATAAAGAAAAATTCAACGGACAAAAAAGTTTATACATTGCAGAAACTTAAAATTGATCATGTAAACAATCATTCTGATCACTTGATATTTTTAGATAATTTTCAATATATTAGTCTTTATTATCAATGATCTACCTCAGCATTTTATCCTGGGAGACAAAACTGGCAGCTTTAAAATGCTGACAGGCCATAAAATTCATTAAGGAGAAAATGGAAACGTTATTGTGACTTTTTGTTTTACCTGCTCAATTTTTTTATCTTTTATGAAAATCTGTGCATCATTAAAAACCCAAAACATGAAAATGGCTTCAGATTGTTACCTTATTAAAAGAAAAAAAGAATTTCCAATTTTTTTGGCTCAACTCTTTTTGTGGCCAATTTTTTTTAAACCATTATCGACTTGTGGGCCAAACAAAATACTTTCAGGGGCCACAAACTGCCCCCGAGCCACACTTTGGACACAACTTATCTACAAGTTGTGATCACCTATTGCTCTGCAGCCTCAGAGTAAACAACCAACCCGCTGATGGAGATCAGAAGCCGTCACACTTTCCCAGAGTTTCAACACTTTATCGGGCTTTCTGGAAACGTTGCATAATTCTGCAACAACAACAACCGAGCCGTTGTTCTTTCCTCCTGCAACTCGGCTAAAACTAAACGGCTGAAGTCTTTTCGGGCCGCAGCTTTAGAGAGGCAGACATGCTTACATCCAGGTAGTTCTTCAGCGTTTCTGGAGTGGGTCCATTACTGGACGGGAAGCCCAGGTTGTACTTCAGGGAGTGTCTGTCAGCCAGCAGCTCATCGGCTCTTCTTCCCGAGTCGGTCAGTTCACGTCGGATTGAACGGAATTTCTTTAAGGGAATTTTAAAAAAAACCAAAAAAAAAAAAAAAAAAAAAAACAGGTTAAAAGTTTAATTTAGACAATTTAAACAGTCACGTTTTACTCCAGTTTCCACAATGAAGCAAAAGCTGAACAGACGGCAACATTTATGCCCAAGAAAACCAAAGATCTGATTTACTTCCTCCCACTTTATCCCCATGGTGCAACCTGCACTGCCCCCTTGTGGACGTCATTGCAATAACTTTTTCAAGTAATGTAATGGCAGGATAAGAGCAAATTCTAAAGAACAAACTAAATTCTGATGAACATTTAACACTGGAACTGAAAAACATTTTACATACCCAAAACAAAACAGAAACGACAAAATAGATTATGAAGTCTCTAATCAAAGTTGTCCTTCAAAATAATAAAGGTTTAGTTCAGACAAATTCACCAGACAGAGGACTTTAGTCATCCAGTTTTTGGTAGAAAGAAAAACGATAAACCATGCAAATGAACCTTTATTAATTTATGCGATCGATTTATTGCGACACGGTGAGAAATCTTAGGTTTTCATCTTTTTCTTTAGGACACAAATGCATCACAAACTTAACTGCAAAATGCAAGAGCAAAAAGGTCAAATGTGGGCTTCCCCAAGACAAACGAAAACTTTGGAAAATAAAAATCTACTCGTACAATTTGAGTCATTTTCACAGAATAAAAATCATCCGACAGCTTTGATTGTGTCTTTTGTTGGTAATCTGGTTAATAAAGGTCCGTTTTCATGTGCAGTCCCAAACAAACATGAACAGAGTTAATTGATTGATCTTCAATTTTTCGTAGAGTTGAGAAAGCATAAAAACATTTTCGTTGAGGTTTTTTTAAAGGCATTTGCGATTTTAAATTGACAGCTGTGATCAATGTTACTGCGTTCAAAATGAACCAGGCTCCATAAAAACCAGGATAAAACAAAACTAGAGCTGCACCATTCCAGAGATTAGAATTGGTCAAAACTAGGCGATTTGTTTAACATTTTGAGTGGATGTGTTAGAGTGCATATTCTGTAACAACATTTTGACAGATCTTCATGTGTAGAGTTGCTTAGAGAAGCTTTTTGAGAAAACCACCATCACATCTCTTCTTTTGTTTCAGGTTATAACTCGTCACAAAAACAGTCAAACCTGACTGAGAAACTAAACATGGTGTCATAAATAGAAAAACAACATGATAACCTGACTCAGAGGTGGGACCAAGTCACTGTTTTGCAAGTCTCAAAACAGGATTTAAAAATAACGGGGGGAAAAAAAAAAGGCTACAGCTAATTTCACATCTCAGTATTGATAAAAACACGTTGCGTAAATCAAGCTTGCCAGAATCACTAACCAAGACACAAAATAATGTGCTGCATTACCATCCAGAAACCACTGGTGTGAAAGTCAGTCAAGTTTGAGAATTTTTTCAAGTCAAGTCTTGATTTTAATGACTCGAGTCCAAGTCATGTGACTCGAGTCCCCACCTCTGACCTGACTGCCATTTGCCCCCATTTTCACAGCTGACCCAGTTACTACACGTCTATAAACAGTCAGCTGAAACTTTAGCTTCCTCAGTCAGGTGTTCAACAATAAAGATGATGTAATCATCATGAGATCAGCCTAAAGCCATTTTATTGTTCGGGTTCATGTTTTAAAAGTCGGCCACTCTGATAAGAAATGGCAACGTATAAAACAGTTTGGAAAGACCTTAAACCAGGAAAGGTTTAGAAATGTGAGGTATTTTTCCAGAGTAGAGCTGCTGCTTCTCTGCACCAAAAGGTTTCGAAGGCGCACCGAACTAAACCCCAGCAGAAACAAAGAAGTATATAAATTATTTATTCTGAATTAGGAATAGCTTGGATCAGTGGGACTGCAGCCATTTCTGCTCGTATTGGTGGATTCAGTCACCGGCTGCACAGTCGCTTCAAGCAAACTGTTTTTAGTAGCTGCTGCAGTTCGTGGTTTTGAGACTTCCTGCCAAGATAAATGTGCAGAGAAGTCCATATCTACTTGCTAAATCAGTCATGTTACTCATTTTATTGCTTTATTGCAACTTTTGGTTTGACAAGAATAATTTTACTTTACCGCAGGAGGGGCAGAAATACATTTTAATAACTTAAAAGTAGCCATGTACACACCAAAGATTATGAGTATTTGAAATTAATCAAAAAATGGAAATAGCATTCATCTTAATTTAAAAATGAGATAATGGATGTTTGGAAAAACATAAGCTGAAAGCCTTTAGTTTCAAGGCAGAATATTGTCACTTTTATTACCATAAAGAGGACACACAAAAGAAATGTGTTTATTGAGAATCAGAATCTGCAACTTAATTTGTTTTCAGTGTGGATTACAATAATTGTCTAAACTTCACTTAATTTGTTGTTTCCATAGTTACAATCTAATATGAGTTTAACCTTTTCTTTGTGTTTGAACTTCAGTTGGTTTGCAGTTACATCTCAGCCAAATAACCAATTATTGATTATTTTAGGCTTAGCCAATTAAACTCAGACTCCTCTTCCAGATTACACCAAAGATGAATTGAACAACATTTGTGGTGTTGGTTTTAACAGGACATGGGGCCCTGAGCCCCTACAAGCCTTGGTGTGTCCCTGGTTACAGTTTATTCTCATTATTAGTCACAGAAACACATTTTTAATCAGCACACAAGATCTGTTAATGCCCTTTCAGATTAAAACTTGTGTACCAACATAATCGTTTTAGCAAATTTTGCCAAGAGATCCATTTCTAAGTAGGTCCAACTGGGAATAACCCAAGATGCAGGCACTGAATTTCCTGGAAAGATGGGTTAGAGGCTGGTACCATGGAGAGGGATGTTGGAGATTCCCATTTGGACCCGGTACTTCAGTAACTAGACAACCGTAAATGACGCAGAGAATGGACCGATAACACCTTCTTGTGGGTGTTTTGCAGCTCTAGATTGAAAATAAACACCCTATGCGCCCGTTATTGTAAATTGAAAACCATATTTAGTTAAATAAACCGAAACAGACTCTCCCCTTAAAGAATCACACCTGCTTGATGTTATTTAATCTACTTTATGAGTTTCGTTGTTGAAACTGTGAGACAAAGTGTCAGCTAACGGCTTCATGTCACAAGATTAGCTGGGCTAGTTGAGACAAACAGCAGGTCAGGTGATCACAGAGGGAGACATTAGCAGACAACCCTTCTCCAAATAAAGCTTTAAAACCACCAGCGTGACCGTTACACAAGGTTAACAACACAGTTAACCTTGTGTAAGTTGCTGCTAACGCTGTTAGCTCTAACTTTATAGGTTTTAAGGTCGTTTTAAACTGATAGACTAAACGGATTAAATGTTTCTTTGTTTGTTTGTTTGTTTTCTTACCGAACCAGGGCGTCATTCGTCAAGGCTAACGCCGCCAACACCAACACGACCAGGCTCCTCATTGTGCCAGAACCGGGACCAGCAGAACCACAATGACTGAGCACTTCGAGCTTGTTGTCGACAAACAGCCGACTTTTATCAGCTGACCCAGTCAGCGTCACGTGCCTCCGGAACAGCACGGCGGTGACGTCACTAACGGTCCTTCTCCCTTTTTTTTACTTCCTGTTTTAAGCTAAGGAAAAAAACCTGGGAAAAGCCAACAGGACGGGTAAAAAAACATACAAAATTATGTGATTTAGAATATAACACAATCGAACTAACAAAGTAACAGCTAAAACAAATTAATTCTATTTGTTTGTATGAAAACAGTAAACAGAATTAGCGAAAATACAGGCACAAAATAAAAATGCCGTTTTCCAAATTTGGAAATATTCTTGAGAGAGAATATTTCCAACTTCCAAGTTAGAAAGATTAACTGCAATGACCTTTGACACCACATTGTATCGCCAGGAATTAGCACCCCAATTTCGCAACATAATCCTCAATTGGGTAAAGTACCCCAACATTTTACTCAAGTAAGAGTAGCACAGTAAAGTATTTTCTAAAGAAACTAGTTAAGTACTCGTTAGCTAATGACACTTTATTTGTACAAAATAATCAAATGAAAACATTTAAAATTATGTGCAAATTAAAAATTTAGAGAGTAAAATAAAAAAGATGCAAATAAAATAATTACAAAATAACTACTTCAGGGAAGAAACTTGTTTCCAAACCAATTTTTTTCAACATAAGTTATGAAAACTGTGGAAGCCCTGAAAGGCAAAAATAAATGAGAAGGCTTTTTTTAAATATTGTATTTGTTTTATTTGAAGTCTCATTTTCTTAGCCTGACCAAATTTTCTGTTTCTCTCAATATCATGACACATGACATAAATGAAAAAGAAAATTGTAAATGAAAATATTTAAAAGTTTTTTGGGAATTTGTTTTACCCCGTAGAACAATTTTTTTCTTGAAGTGAACTATAAAAAATATGCGATTTGCCAAATTCAACTAATTTTGTTTTTCTATTAAGACTTTCTGATTGTAAACAATCAGAATATGTCACAAAATGTCACTAAGATAAAACTCAAATATTTGGTTAATTTAAAAAATCAGCAATATGTGGGAAAGCATGGTAAAAAAATTCATTTACCTATAAAAGACATGATATATTATATCTGACATGTTTGCAGCGAATTCCTCCAGAGAAATACCAACAATATGGGAAATTATATGCAGACATAGAAAAAGGCATGTGTGCATGAGACAAAGCAGTAATGTCTCATGCTGCTTTTCTTTTCTTTTCCAATTATTTATTTAAACAGCCAATACATATCTGGTAGGATTGTCTTTTCAAGATAAAAAGAGCTGCAGAATTAGGTTTAGGATCAAGAATTATCATAAACAAAGACAAAGATAACTTCATGTTTTATTCAGTAAGGTCTTGTCTGTTTTACTGTTGAATCATTTTCTGCTGCATTTTTATAGTAAGATGAGCAAACGGGTTGTTTGGTGCAAAAAATTAATCCTTGACCTACCTTTTCTATTTTAAACATTTTATCTCAAGCACTTTGGGGTGAAATTATCAGCAGGGATGTAAATCACTAACCAGCACTGCTGAAGCTGCAGTTTTTTCAGAGTGAAGCTGTTGCCTTGTAATGCTGTGGACTGAACAGCGAGTGGCTGCCTCGCCCTACAGATACATCTCATTGTATAGTGTCAAAATCATCTGATTGCTTGAATGGTTTCTTATGCATTACAGAATCTTTCTGTAATATTAAAAAGACACCCAGGTATTTAAAAGAATATTAGCTACTGTATCATTTAGCGGCCATCCATCACTTGTATCTGCTGGAGTTGATGCAACAGTATCAGTGAAAATTCAGAAAACTTCATTGAACACAAAGCAAAACATAACTGTAGATGTAGATGAAGGAGTTCTGTTTAAATGAGTTTAGAAAATGCTGTGTTAAATGTTTTAGCTGTAGCTAAATGATTAGCTAAATGTTCACCATTTATTTAGCTAAATATTTGCACATTTAGCTTAACATTTCGGTGTTAAAGCTGTAGCTAAATAGTTAGCTAACTGGTAGCTAATTGTTAGCTAAGTATTTAAACATTTAGCTTAATGTTTCAGTGTTATAGTTGTAGCTAAATGATTATTGAAACAATTTGCAAAGTATGAAGCGTCTTATGTAAATAAGATGCTTAAAGTTGGTTTTAATATACTGTCAAACTGGAACAACAGGGCAACAGTCTGAAAGGAAAAAGACAAACTGTAAAAAGTGACTCATCAAAGATGTCTGATACAGTGTGACAGTGACTTGCATTTGTTTTCTATCATAATGAAAGCTTTCACAGCAACATGAGACCGCAGAATTGCACAACAGCACCAATCATGTGAACCCAAACTGCACTCAGAGCAGTAAAAGTGTCGACAGGTTTGGAAAATCATGAGAACATTAAACGGAGACAAAAAAAAAAGGAACATGAATCATAAGCCAGAGCTGAGAATCAGGAACTTGATTCACATTTAGCAACACAGAGAAGGACAGAGCGAGTTTTCAGCTGATAGATGTTTTAACCAAATTACTGAGTCCCTCTGTTGACCTGATCAATAAACTCACCAAAGACAGTTTGAGTCTCCCTGGAGGCGGTAAATGAATCATTTAACAGTAATATTTGGTCTCACAAACAGAAAAGACTTTGTTTAATTTGGTCAAACTTTGGGAAGACATTTAGTCAATATGAGGTAACTCATTAACGAAGGCTCCTTCAGCAGACAGCAGCTGCTGTGCTTTAAATTAGGAGAAACCTCACCGCTGCAAACCACAACAATGTCTTAAACCAGAGTCTTATTCTGGAGGATAAACAGTCCGTCACAACACAAACATCCACAAACTAGCAGCAATGTAGAGAGAGCAATTAACCTATTTTTGACTTTTAAAATATTTGGAATTTTCCTTTTCATTCTCTTTGGTTTTCCTCTTCTTTCTTCCCAGCTGCATCTACTCACCTTTGATTAGCTCTTCTGGTCCATTTTGTCCATCAGTAAATTTAAGTTGTGCAGTTCTCATTTCTCTCCTCGGCTTTATGGTTTTATTGCAGTTTTCTGTCCTAAATTGTGTTTTATGACAACCTTTAACTCTAGAAACTTAACCAAACTCAACACATATGGTCAACTAAAACAAACCAACGCTTCCCTGGAAAACTTTTAAATATGACCAGAATTCCATAATAATATCTTTACATGTCTAGAGATAAAAGTAAATATTTTGCACATATAGTATCTGTTTTCACTCAGACCACTGATGATTTTATCAGGCATCCAGCAGTTAGCTACGTCCAAATCTTTAATTAATCCAACAAGAAAGTAATATTCTAAAATGTTAATTTTGATTAATTAAATACATAGATTTTAACACGTTCAAAAGTTTAACTGAATTTATATATATATATATATATATATATATATATATATATTTATTTATTTATATATTTTTTTTTACATATGAAGGTTCCAGTAGGAACCTTTGTAAGTACATATTTCATATATCTGTCATATATCTGACGCACAAGACAATAAATATGTTTGTTGTTGAGCTCATGCTTGTATCTTTTCAAAAATGTTTTTTTAATTGAAAATGTACAGTTTTTGATTAAAATGCGATTAATTAATTGCAGACCATAAAATTAACTTGAGTAAGTTATATGTAACCTTTTTAATGGTGCATTTTGAAATGGGATTAAAAGAGGTTAAAGTTCTGGATTATAACTGTCTTCCAAGTGGACAATTAGCAAATGACAATT